CGAAAGTAAGAGTACTTCGGACACATACTCAGGAATGACAAATACCTACTTCTCAAACTCATAATCGAGGGAAAAATCGAAGGCAGGAGAGGCCCTGTACGTCGAAGAATAGCTTGGCTAAAGAATTTGCATCGCTGGTATGGCGAGACCACGACAAGTTTTTCAGAAAAGCAGTCGACAAAGTACAGATAGCGCTGATGATTGCCATCGTTCCTAGAAGACAAGGCACTTGAAGAAGAAGAATAATAATATAAAATTCGATAAGTTAATCTCTAACAGTTTTCGAGAAAAAATCAATAAAAAAAACATATGTTTTTGTCATAAGAAAGTGTGCTGGAAAATGACCTTCCTCGTTTTCCTTACACACATAAAGTCCTTTTCTAAAACAAAAAGGTCCTCATGACAAAAAAGGATTTTGATTTTTTTCTCAAAAAATCCTTAAGATAATCCTATCGAACTTTATTTATATCATTGAAATCAGCAAAAGCAGGGCTATCCAATGAATTATTAGAATATAGGGTTTCCTATTCAGAAAAATCTAATATTGGTCAATATCTCGGAATACTGAGAATCTCATCAAATTCTGCTTGAAAAAGTGCTTCTAGAAAGTTTTTACGGAAATTAATTATTTTCATTAATAAAAAAGTTGTGAAGCTTTTCCTATTGAAAATGTCCAAATTGGACCACCTTGTACACGCTAGAGATTAAAATAATATCACTTTTGGAATATATATTGTTCTATTTTTGAAAAAAAATGCTTGATTTTATCAACCATACCTAAATTACCTATATACAATATTTCACAGTAGATAATGGAAAAAAAATATTTGACCTAATTTTTTAGTAACACCCTGTATCGCTACAAGGTCGGTGCCATGAAAGAAAATGCTTGTTTCGACTTCTAAAATAATATACTAAAGTTTCAACAAAATCTGTCGGTGACCGAAATCCATAAGAAGTGTGAGATGTCCTCCTGCATGTCCGATAACCTAAAAGTACATTTTGACATTGGTCACGTGATCACTGTTGTGGCGGCAAATTCGAAAATTTTGAATATGGAAACGCGAAAAGTGGGGTTGGATGGCAAAATTTCGGAAAAAGTTATTTGGAAAAAGTGATTAGAACGATGTTTTAGGGCTGTCTGCGAAAATGAAATATAATATCAGTACTACCATCTATTTATCATGAGCATAAAATGCAAAATATCTATTATTAAAATAAGGTACCGCCATCTAGTGCCGGATAGATTCATTTTTTAAAATATGATTTTCATTATTTCTCATTGACAGTCATTCGTATTTTCATTTTAAAGAAATTATATTTATCCACAATCATCAAATAATGGCAGTTTTATCCATTCATATTGTTCCAACTCGTAGCTCAAAAACCGTAAAATTTGTGGACTGTATTTTTCCTTAGGATTTTTCGACAGTTTCCAAGTAAAATTTATTCTATTTGGATCCGTCAAAATAAGACACCGTTAATCAAGCACTCAATTTTTACTTTAACTTCATGTAAAACTGGTAAATCAAAAACTAAATTACATCCTCTAATAAACTGAACAAAAATCTCCTCTTCTCATCTGAAATTCCAACTTAAAACTAAAAACTATTTCTTTTGGGGATACACAAAAGAATATGTCTATCCCTTCTCTTGAATTTCAACACAAAAGGCTCAAGCGAGCAAAAACTTCTTATCTACTTTAAATATAAATTTAGCCTATTTTTTATTTTCGAATAAATAGTGAACCCTTGGAGAGTCGATGATAACCAGCGGGCGCACGCTTTCTGTGCTAAAATGGCTCGACCGCAATGTAAATGTAGTAGAGCACGAACTAAATAAAAATAGTATTATATTGTCTGCGAGTTGCAACACATATGAAGCATCTAAAGTGATACTTTATCCACTAGTGGAATAAAATAACTTTATTCCACTAGTTGAATAATGAAATCAGGAGAGATACGAAATTTTTATTTTATTTATTGATATTAACAATAACATTTACATTAAAAGATACTCCGTTGTTTGATTTGTCTCCTATAACTTCGTTATTGTTGGTAAAAAGGTGATAATTTCCATCAGCTTGGGAACTTACATTTATGGGTGTATTGGCAGAATTACCAGGAACAGGAATATAAGGTGTCTCCTCTTGTAAGGGACATTTTCTCCTTGAATTTTGTTTGCAATACTAAGCTTATTGGAAATGGAATCCTCGATATAACTTTCAGCAACAGAGGAGCTCTTCCATCCGCCATGTGTATGTACCATCGTCACCAAAAGTAACTGGGACAGCATCACATAAGCTCTTGTCCTATTATATGAATTTTATTGTCAAATATTTGTCAAACTATAAATTAAATGCATTGAAATGAATGACAGTAGAATTAGTCCAGGAGATTATTATGTATTATTTGTGTCCCAGATACTTTTGGTGACGATGGTACGTGTGATTGTGGATAAAACGTTGTATTACATTCGTGTTTTAGTTGCATTTTATCCACTTAAGAAAATTAAACGCTCTAACTTCGTTCTCGCGTTAAAACATTCTTGCGTGGATAAAATGCTTCCTAAAACACTTATACAATAAATAACTATTATCTCACTTTCAGCAAATAGATATATTTCTGACTTTCTTTTACTTCTGATTCTGAAATGATTATTTGTGGCTTTTTTCAACATAACCTCAATTTAAATTATTGTAAGTTGTAAACAATTGAAATAATTATTCTAGTGTGTTTTTATTTATTCCCTTTCAATCAGCATGGTATTTCATTATGAAGCGAATACTGTCTTTTGTGTGTGTTGAGTGTTGTCTTCTGATTGGTCGATCTGGTTAATATGCAGTTAAGTATAAAAAAAAAACACAACATTCGTTTTGCTGCAGGGTTTGGTTTCTAGAACGGTCTCTTCTTCTGGCAGTGGCCTAGCAAGCAAGTCGATTTTGATTTTTGTAATTTTTTCCTTCAGATTTTTAGATTTTCCTTTAATAATTTTTCAATTTATTTTCCCATCAGTGTATACTATCATATCACTGTTGAGTTTTTACCTGATAAACCTTATCTTATCTACTTTTGAAATATAAATATTATATTTTAATTTTTTATCAAATTGTGAGCATCCATTTTGTGATTGGTGGTTCCAAGTTTTTCTGAGGTAAGTCAATTCAGATTTTTGGGCTAATAAATAGGTACTGCTGCTCTGGTTTTCAGAATCAATTGTTAAAGTGGGATTATTGGACCATTCGCTCTAAATAGAGTCGGTGAAAACCAAATTTGTGTGTCCATCCCTATCAACTCTTTACTGAATCCAGGCAGAGGCCTGTATAGCCATTTTCTGTTTGACTCCTTCAATTATTATCTTCTCGAAGAGAAGAGTGTTGAAAAGGGTGTAATTTTTAAAATAGAAATCCAGACAGGTCAAAAAGTTTTAATTAAAACATCTCAAGAATTTTGACATATCCTGGATTTGATTGATTTCACCCTCAGGTTTATCTTGTCGTATCTATGGTAGGTACCTTGACTAAAAAGGAAAATTTGAAATTTGTTTATTTGGGGAGAATCTAGAAATTGAATTTTTTAATTTTCTTTATCTGATTCAATTTTTCCTACATTTGTTTTTATTCTTGCCTGTTTATTGCTACTGCCAGAAAAGCAGCATTTTGCTCATTTGTAATGAGCATCTATTTTAATTCAATCTTGCCGTATCTACCCATTTTACTATTGTTTTATTAATACATATATATCAATTATTTTTTCCATAGCTACTGGTAAAATAGCCTTTAATCTACTAAAAATAGTAGATAAAGTAGTACTTTAACCGCAAGGGTAGACTAAATGATACTTTAACAGCAAGGATAGATAAAGACGTTTATTTTGTCAAAAATATATACATATTTTGATTTTTATTTATTTGTCAAACTAATTTCTACTTATGGAAAAGTGTTCGTCTCAAATAATTTCTAAATATTTTTGATACTACAGGCGTCCATAATTAGGCTATGGAAAAAAACTTTGTTTTACACACGACGATGAAATGCCATTATCGTCTCCCGGAATTAATTCACTCGCGATTCCGCTCGTGGATTAACTTTTCCGGTCAACGATAAACTACCATTTTATCGTTTTGTATAAAAAATAGCTATTAATTGTTTTTTTTTTTAATATATATATTTTTTTTTTCTTCAATTTGCAATAGTTGCTCATACTTACTTGATTCTGTTGGAAAGAAGTGTCTGCACAACAATGGTTTTATAATAAACTAATTTCAATTCAAATCTTCTTTGCAAGACACTCGCTTTTTGACAGAATTCAGGGATTTAATAGTCCAAATCTTGGTGAACCTGATACTGCCTTATCTTTTTCTTGGTACCTAACTCGACATAAATATCACTATTTGGAGTCTGGATCAGCTGGAGTGACGTCACACCAGCAATATATCCCCTTTCCTGGATACAGGAAACAACACGAAGAGCTCCAGTTCACGAAAGTGAAACCCCAACCTCCATTGAAGACCTCCGGATTGGAAAGGTACATATTGTATCAGATTCACCAGTACAACCAAGCTGTCAACTGTCAAATTTTAAAGAAAAGTAACATTGTTACTACATTGTAAACAAATATTAAATAAAATTATTGTTTGTTGGATTTTGAGTGGTTTCATTTGCACATAAAGAGGCTACACGTTATCTTATTATTTTTTTTTTTTTTGAATTCCACACCCCTATAGGTTCTCTTGTCTTGAAGTTCAAATAACTAGTATTATTTGTAACAAGCGAACAATATAATCAAACTATGGAAATCCAATAATGCTAAATCACATGTTTGATGGAAAATATTCGATATGTATTCGTGGAATATTACCCAATTGACAGGAATCAGCTATTTTGTCTCCTGATTACAAATTTAGATTATGTGGAATTTGGGAACAATTGCCCGAATTCGGAATCGTTTTTTAATTAGCATTTCAAATGTCTAAAGGCTAATTTGTTAGAAGCTACTTACTTAGTCTCGAAGCTAGCGTCCGTAGCTACAACTGTCCAATTGCCATTAGCGTCTTGCCTTTCGACAGTCAAAAACGTTTTCTCTGCCATTACGTTGTTCCTTGGATGGCCTGCTATCTGTAATATTAGAAAGTTTTTTTTTCTACATATTTTCTAAAAATACAGACATTTATTGCATTAAGAGTGGAAAACTATGGTTGAAAATCGTCAGTAGACTATACAAAAATTGTTCTTCAGTAACGAAGATAATTTCAAAAAAAATATTTATATTATGTATTGAATGTGATGGAAACGAAAGTAAAATTTGTAATTATTACAACCCATTCTGCTGTAATTGCCAATAGCTTGACCCGTAGACACATATATAGTTGCCAACGTATCAGACACATTATTATCAAAACCAATCCCCAAAAAGCTTTATTTCAAACTAATGACACCCTTAATAGTAAAAGCTAGCTTATGTGAAGGTTATTTTTGTTAAGTGAATTCTTTAATTTTAGTCAGTATTTGATTTTTTATGCAAGGATGGGTTGATTAATTGGACTCTGGCCATGACACAGCAATTGAGTAATCAGGTCATGTTTGTGGTTCAATTTTATTTATAGATTGAGCGCAAGATAGATGATTGGAAGTTCACATTTTCTCTGAGTATTATGGGTCAAGGATTGATTTTCTTCTCTTTGTCAAGTTTCTGTGCATCACACTATTCAACAACAATCTTTGAACCGTAGAAATCGTGAAAACTGACTTTTACAACTTTCGATACGTTGACTTAAGTTTCTCTCCCGCTATTTCTAAGTAATATAATTATTCGTTCAACCAAAGAAGTTGCAATGTCATTGATTATAGGAGTCAAAGGATGCCAAAACTAGTGTCGTTTAATTACTTCAGCCTTGCTTTTGATGTCTTTCCGGTGCCTGATTTATGGGTTCAAGTTCCGGAAACTCGTGATGTCACAACTGTGCTAATTATTCGACAGTAGGAAATCTATTTCTGGGAGCTTTTATGTCTTACGGCCTTTTCGTTGGCATGTGGTAATTTAGTTTAATTTCGGTCACTCTGTTGTATTGATAGTTTGAGACAGGACTGGAGAATTCTCTAATACTTTTCAAGATTTCAAGTAATTTGTACAAATGCCAATTTCAATTATTTTCAATTTATTGCTACTAAACTCAGAACTTCTCTCAAAATATTGGAGATTTAATTGAAATTAAATTATTTGATTCAATTTAAATTTACCAGTTATTTGAGAATTTTGAAATATTCTATTTTATTTACTTATCAATTTAAAGTTTTGTTTCACCCACATTTTCAAGTAGAATTTTCAATTGCGAAATCTATCTGGCAATTTTTTAGAAACCTCTAGTGTACCAATAAATTATTTTATTTACTTGTAACTAAATATTTGCCTCTAACTAATTATCCTATTGATAATTTTCCGTAATCTTTAGCAGTAGTTCAATGCTCTATTTTTCCAGCTCTCTACACTTGTATAATTCAATTAATCAACATCTAAGCAAACCAATATAACAATTTGTGTCAGTAACTGGATTTCCATTATCCCCATCTGTACGTACTCTCCATTCTCCGTTGAGCAAACCACAATAATCATTAATTTAGATAATTCCAATATTGCAACAGTGTAACAGCTCCTTGCAATTTACGATCTCAATTTATTGAATTGGCAAGAATGGCCGAATTGAAAATAATCCACTTACGAATTTAACAGATACAGTGTCTCCAATTTTTACTGTGTCTGGTGGTTGTTGTGTTACATCGCCAAAGTTCCAGAACCATCCAGAGCTGTCAAAGAAAACTGGAGTGATGAGGGACAATAGGTTTAGTTTGGATAGATCAGGCGGTGAAGGACCAGCATCTACAGCTGTACGCTGAAAAAAAAAAAAAAAAAAACAATTCGATTGTACTAACAATAAAAATATTGCGAAATAGCAAGCCCTGATTGTTGGAGCGAAACATCTCCTACTGTTTTGCTATTTGCTAAATGAGATTTTTTTATAGTCTAGATTCAGCTGTTTTTCGGATATTTATGAGTCGTAAAATTTACATTATCTTTTTGTATCCTTTTTGAGCTACACGATCCTTAAAACAGCCGCCTAATGGAGAAAAATAATACTGAGGAAATACAGTGCTTTCATGGAATTTTTGCATCATTTGATATATGAGAGTTGAATCATTTTTATGAAAAAATATTGTTACTTATACGGGTTCGCAGATAAGTGAGACTACTTTTTCGAACTTTAACGAATTTTATTTAACATAATAACATTAAAATCACACGAAATTTAACACTACTTTACACTCCGAACTACTCCAAATAAAGCTTATACGGCACGATTATTCTCGAACGTGGTTATTTAGTTCCTGACTTTACAGTTTACTGCACTTGTCGTACGTCAATCAGAACTGATCCTTACGCGGTGCGCACCGGGGCTTTTATAGTTATGTGCGTCCTTCTCTAACACGCTCGAATTTTCGTGATTCAGTTCACCTTGAAAATAGTCAAATTTTCTGGCTTCTTTAACTCTAGTTACAGGGGGCAATCAAAAAGTACGAGTGGCGGGTTTATAACACTCCCCCTTCCTCAAAGCTGTTCGCCCCGAACAGCTTATCCCAATCGCATCCAAGTCGCTTTTGCGCTTGTATGGAGCCAGCCTCTCCATGTGAACGACCTTGGGCTTGGTTTTGGGTGTGAGTTGTATCCTGTATACCAAGTACTTGATTTTCTTAATGACCTTGTATGGTCCTTCCCATGGTCGTTGCAGTTTCGGACTTAGTCCCTTTCTTTGCTGTGGTTGGCACAATCAGACAGCATCGCCTTCATTAAAGGTGTTCAGTGACTGCCGTTGGTCGAGTCTCATCTTCATTCTGTCATTGGTCAGACGTAGCTTATTTCTGGCGAAATCGTGTACCACTCCAAGTCTGTCTTGGAGATCAGCCACGTAAACTGGAAGTACAGCCTCTCTTCATCGACTGGAGGCCTGCCAAACATTAAATCTTCATTTCTCTTCCATTCAACAGCATAGATGGTGTATAGCCGGTGGACTCATGCTGAGAGCTTCTATAAGCCCGAAGAAAAAGAGGCACTAGTTTATCCCAGTCTCGCTGGTGATCATCTACAAACATCGAGAGGTATTGATTGATGGTCCGATTGTGCCTCTCGACCATTCCGTCCGACTGTGGGTGAAGTGCAGTCGTCCTCGTTTTTCTTACTCCCAGTAACCTTATCAGTTGTTTCCATACCTCGGACTCAAAATTCTTTCCCTGATCGATATGAAGTTTCATGGGTACCTCATGTCAGGATATGATGTTTTCCAGCAATGATTCCGCAACAGTAACTTCTTCCTGATTGGGTATGGGAACTACTTCTGGCCACTTTGAAAAAAAGTCCATAGCAAAAATGAGGTACTTATTCCCTGACTCCGTCGTAAGAAAAGGACCTGCAATATCCACGGCAATTCTCTCCCAAGGGGAACCGGACAAGCACTGCTCCATTTCTGCACAGGATCGCGTCTTGGGTCCTTTCTTAGAAGCACAGAGATCGCATCTCTTGTACCACTCTTCAACATCCCTACGAAAGTTGATCCAATAGTACCTATCTCTTACTCGAGCCAAGTTCCTCTTGACTCCAAACTGTCCGACACTCCTACTACTGTGCAGTTCTTGAAGCACTCTGTCCACCATGGTCCATGGCACAACAGTCTGATAAACTAGGTTTTTTCCATCTGGACTCTCCCATTTACGAGTGATCAAGTCATCTCGCAGGCACAACGAGGCCCATTGCAGCCAGTATCCCTTCGCCGTTTGACTCAAAACTGGAAATTTCTTGCCATCCAGGTCGTTTCCGTCTTGTAGCCAGCCACGCACCATTTTCAATTCCTTATCCATATTTTGTTGTTCTTCGAAGTCTTCTCTCGTAATGTCCTCATCAGTATTAGCGTCGTTGTCAGAGTTTTCAAGCCTTATTTGTTGAACTACTCCAGAATTTTTGATTGCCTCCTTTTCCTCTTGCTTTTGGCAGAATTTGCATGAGCTGTCAATACATGGTATTCATGATAGGCTGTCGGCGTTGACATGACTCCTTCCTTTGCGATGTTTGATTTGGAAGTCATAGCTTTTTAATTTCTCTAATCAACGCGCTATTTGACCCTCCGGATTTCTAAAATTGAGCAGCCATTGCAATGCAGAATGGTCGGTTCTAACTAGGAACTTCCAGCCATAGAGAAAGCTGTTCAATAGATCTTACTACTGCCAGAAGCTCCTTTCGGGTGACACAATAATTCTTCTCTGCCTTTCCAATGGACTTACTCAAGTATCCAATTACTACTTCTTCGCCGTTTTGAATTTGGAAAAGAACAGTCCCTATTTCACGTTGCGAAGGGTCGGTGTCTAACATAAATAGACCTTCATCCCTGGGATACGCCAGAACTGGAGCACTAGTCAATTTATTTTTCAGCTCCACGAAAGACCGTTGACATTCAGGTATCCAATCAAAACGTGCGTTCTTTTCAGTTAGTTCATGTAAAGGCTTCGCAATCTTCCCAAAATCTTTGACAAACCGGCGGTAGTATCTGCAGAGTCCCAGGAAGCTTCTAACTTCATGTTTATTTTTTGGTGTGGGCCAATCTCGCACAGCTTGGACTTTATCTGGATCTGTCCCTATCCCTTTTGATGAGACGACATGGCCGAGGAAGTTTACTTTTTCCTGGAATAGGACACACTTCTTGGGATTTAGTTGCAGATTGGCACTTCGAATCCTGGCAAAAACTTCCTTCAAATTCGACAGGTGTTCGTGGAAATCTTCGCCAATCACCATGACATCATTCAGATATACCATGCACGTTTCCCAAGTCAGTCCTCGCAAAACTAACTCCATCAGTCTTTCAAAAGTGGCAGGTGTATTGCCTAACCCAAACGGCATGACGTTAAATTGATATAGGCCGTTTCCTGCAGTAAATGCGGTCTTCTTTCTTGTTTTTAATAAATGAAGCACACAATTTTTCTACTTATTTTCCAACACCGGAATCGTACAAAAACCTCCAAGAGAAAAAGACAACTCAAAATTCGTTTATTATTATACGCTGTTTCCAACTTGACAGACGGTACCATAACCTAACTTAATTTTTGCTCCGTCTCATTTCTGGCCACTGTTCTGTTTCTTCACAACAGTAACCAACACAGAAATAAAAGAGATTTTAGTGTGAGATAAAATACCACTTTTCAGCAGCCCCCCTCCCTAAAATCTCTCAAACCTATAAACTCTTTAAAATGTTTAAACATAGGAGCAGGCAATCCCTTTGTCAGAATATCAGTCTTTTGATTGCTAGATGAAACATATTGCAGTTTCAAAATTTGTTTATTTATGTATAAATTTATATTTCAACTCCAAATGTTTCACCCGGCGATTATTGGCTGGATTATTAGCTATTGCAATACAGCCCTGATTATCCTCGTACAAAATAATTTCATTTATTTTTAAAGAAAAATCCTTCAACAGCTTCAGAACCTACAAATTTTCTGTCAATGCACTACATAGAGCAACTAATTCCGCTTCGGTAGAAGAGAGACTTATGCAGTTCTGTTTGCGCGTTATCCAAGCAATTGTGAAATACCATTGCCCCTATCATAATATATCTCAAGACCAAGAAAGTGACTCAAATTACCTTTGTCTTTCATTTTAAATTATGACATCAAAATTTCCTTGATATAATTGATTTTATGTAAAGAAGGAACGGACAAAATAATGTCATCGACATAAATTAGTAAATACACTATATCCAAAACATTTTCACACATTAAATAATACAAACAAAAATCATTTTCGGACCCCACAAACCCTATACTTATAAGAAAACTATTAATATTATCGTTCCAACATTGGCTACTTTGCTTCAAACCGTACAAAGACTTTTTCAATTTAAGCACTTCACCTGACTTAACCTTTATACCAACAGGTGCAAATATATATACATCCTCATTAATAGATCCATTTAAAAATGCTGTCTTAACATCTAGTTGCACAAAATAGTATTTATACTGATTACCTATCACCAGCAACAATTTAATGGTTGACATTCGTGCTACAGGAGATCGAATATTTTTAAAATCTACATGTTTTTCTTGCATGAAACCTCTAACAACAAGTCTGGCCTTATACCTATCTTCTAAATTATCTTCCAAATTTTTATATGTGAAACACCCACTTAGTATCTAAAATTCTAACATTCACAGGCCTATCTATTTTTTCTTATGTCTGGTTTTCTATGATTGAATCTAACTCTCTATTTACAGCATCTAACCAGTAATTTTTATCAGCTCTATCCTTTAATTCTGAAAAACACTTAGGAATATCCCTGCATGAATAATTCATAGTCCCTGAACCTGGATGGCATTTTTATTTGTCGCTTTTCTGAATTTATATTACTATCTGAAATCTCATTCTCATACCCCAAATCAGACTGCTCTTCTCTTTCATCCTCATCTTGATTTTTCTCATCTTTCTGTAAGTTTTCCTGTCTTTCCTCCATTATACCTATGTCTTTCAAGCTATTCTTGTAATAAAATTTATCTTCATGGAACTCTACATCCCTGGATAAAATCAATTTGTTATCTGCAATATTCCACAGCCTATAACCATTTGGTGAATACCCCAACATAATACAATGTTTAGTTTTAGAGTCAAATTTTGCCCTGAATTGTTTTGGAATTAAACTATAAGCCATGCACCCAAATATTCTAAAGTTTTTTATGTCTGGTTTTTCCCCATACCATGCCTCGGCTGGTATGATAGGTACCTTTTAAATTTGCTGTTATTCCCCTATTCATCAAATAGTTTGCTGTTAAGATCGCTTCTCCTCAAAATTCTTTAGGC